TTGCGAAAGAACCCACTTTTCGAGTAAAGTGGTCCTAATTGATGCATGCCGATTTCCTCAATAAATCGATGAAATTTAAAACTTTACCCATAAAGTCAGTTTTTGATGCTCTTTCTGGTGGTGATATTGAAAAGTGAAATGCTCGCAATTCTAGCAGCCCAGATTTCTGTCCAGGGTTAAAAAGCGGTAATTTTTTTATTTCATTATTTTGAAGTTTCGATATCACCACTAGAAAGAGTATTGGTTGGTGGAAATGGTGAAAATATTTGTTTTATTGCTAATAAATGTTTCAAAGCACAAGAGAATATAGAAAAATTGATTACATCTGGAGGTGAGGGTGATAAAGGTGGAAATGGAGGACATGGAGGTAATGGCCATGATGGAAAGAATGGTGATCTTAGTCCAAAAGATCATGGGTTAGGCTTTTTTTTCTGGTTATGATCTTAAAGAGCGCGAAGCAGATATACCAAGTGGAGATGGTGGAAATGGAGTTGATGCAGGTTTAGGCGGATTTGGTGGACATGCTGGTGAGGTTCATATAGAAGAAAATAGAAAGATTATTCATGATAATCATCAACGTGTTGACAACATCGAATCAATTGATAAATCGAATAGAAGTGCAGAACATGGAAAACCTGATGAAGGTGGAAAAGGTGGTGTAGGAGGATATGATGGTGTTGATACTCTCTATTATAAATGTCATAAGTTTGCTCCAATAGAGACTTGTGAAGGATATACTCTAACGGTATTTCATACAGCGCATTGGTTTTCAGTTGATATCGAAGTGATTTACCACGACAAACCTAGACAAGAGATGGAATAAGCAGAGCTCAAGGAAAAACTGCAGATATGCAATCGACTCGGGAAAAACTCGTCAGAAATGCGAAAACAAAGAAAAATCTAATGAAGAACAGATAAAAAATCAACTAAATCAAGCGATTAATAATCATACTGAAAAAATAAATCATATTTCCAATAACATAAGAAATTCAATCAATTTATTAAAAGATCAAAGAAATAAAATGTTAGATGAACGTCAAACGCGAGTCAAAACACATCAATTATCAAATTCATTACTTGAAAATGCATATAGAATAGTTCAACAATCATTAGCATTACATACAGCTATAATGAAATCCGAAACAGAAAATCATATTTTGAAAACAGCAGAT